GAAGAGCGGGGTTTGTGTCCTGGCAGCCAGCAGGGGGAGCAGAGCAGACGCATCTCCCCACGGCACACACGGTTTTGATTAGAACTTTATATAAATGGCTTGAACAACTTTCCAAGTCCAATTTCCAAAGCAACAGGATGCCAGCACCTCTGACTGACATTACTGGTATTCTCACTAAGTCCTGTTTTTATTTTTAGTAGCAATCATGAATTCTAACCCCAGGGAGGCCCTGCAGCCTAACCTCATCCTTAACCACAATGTCATGGAAAGCGGTTGTCACAGCAGCCAGGTCTCTACTTCTGCTAACATTTTCCATCCAAAGAACTGAAGTCTAAGAACTTCAGCAACAGCTATAAATTCAATGTCTCCTTGGATGTGTTATCCTCTACTGCACGTGGGATCACCAAGGAACACAAGGGCAAGTGACAGACTGTTTGCAGATGCTGATCTGTAAACCGGGATTTCAAGTGTTTAATCCCCAAATTTCACACCTCACAGTACGTGACACCAGTTTCATTCCCCGGAGATACTGGGGACAAGGAGGAAGCCATTCTGCTGTTGTCAGAGATTACAATTCCCAAATTTTACTTCACCCCTTTGGAAAAGTGTTCTGTTCACTTACCAATTACTCTCTCCACTATTTGATACTGTTTGTTCAACTCCGAAGCTAGCTCTTGCTGGCAATTGAAATATTCCACATCTTCAGGTGATACCTTGGCCAGCCTTGATGCAAACAAAACAAAACAATACAAGCACATATAATTCTGTAATGACATACAATGAGACCACATATTGAAAATCTACCGTGCTATACCGTTCTGCGAGTCACTGACGTCTCTGGAGCAGGCTACAGCTTATCTGACCTATTTCTTGAAGCTTCTCTAAGTTCTTCCCATTACAGGGAACAAATGTCAGAGATGTTCACATTCTCTCCCTGTTAGATGGCTCTTTATTCTGCTGTAAGAATCAGTCTCAAAATCAGAATCAAGCAATCACAGACAGAAGCTGCTACTCTAAATTCATCAGTTTGGAAAGACTCTGTCAATCTCTTTACAGTTTTGAGGAAAATCAAAAATAAACCGATAAAAATCTTGCATGTAGAATAGCCCATAATTCCTCCTAGCAAGGCTACCTTGATGCAAGCTGTGAAACAGAATTCACCAGCCTGCCTGCGACGAGCCCCATTTTGCAGCACAGCTGCCAGTCCAGCTTGCAAGATTTCACTGCTGCCTGAAAGCCTTCATGCCACCTCCTGGGCAAGGTGAACTTATGCATCATTTATTTGTCGTCAGCTACCCCAATTATTAAGCCTGGCAACTGTCAGTATTCTGGATTTCTGCCTCTTCTCTGTCTTTCAGCAATATCACGGCCACAGATATCATTTCTATAAGGGGAAGTTCATCAGCAAAGAGATACAAATCTTGTGCACTGAAAATAGTTGTCTTGGATGAAATATGGCATGCAAGAAGAAATCAAATGGTTTCAGTCCAAACTGTGCAAAGCTCTGGCTAAAAGAGATTCTCCCACGGCCACATTGCTGGCTGAAGCGAAGCATACCATTGCTTGATCTCCTCCTCTTTTTTCTTGAAGTTTTCTAGTTTTTTCAGGCCCTTCACCTTCTGCTGCTGCAGGGACTCTTCACTTTCCCACGTGCTGTGGATATAGGACCAGCCTTTCCATTTGATCAGGTACTGAACTTCTCCCTCGTCCTTTTCGGGGTCAAAGTCAGCACTCGGGTTGCCATTGGCTTCAGTTGCATACACTGTGGTGGAAGCACCAGTGGCTGCAAGAGAAATCAGGCTGCAGTTGGTACTTCTGTTAACAAGCACTGGCTATGAAGTGCATTACAGAAGGGTTATTTTCCAATATATCCTTTGTGGTAGCACAAAGAATATCCTAGAGATTCTTCAGCTCTCGGAGACAGGCACACAACAGCCTTCCCGTACAACAGAATTCTTTTTAAATCTATCATAAATGCCTTTTCTTTAAATATCTCTCAAAGGTCTCTTGAAAATGTTCGAGACCATTCAGTTTTACAAAAACACTTTTGTAAGGGCATGAGAACAAAACATCCACTTATTTTTCTTCCCATTATTGCTTTGTCAATAAAGCCATGAAAACTGACTCTACTGGAAGATCTATTTTGCCTTTCAAAGCGAAGTAAGAACTCACAGAACAAAGAATGCAGCTTTAAAACGCATGCATGCTAGAAGAAAGCTGCCAAGCACATGAACTTGACATTTAAGTATTTCAATGCCAGATTTTACAAAAGCTTCTAGAAAACATAAGGAGGAGGCAAATAGGAAAGACTGAAGAACATGGAAATAACCCTGGGCCCCACCAGAGGATTCCACGCTGCTAAAGCATTGCACCAGCTCAAGAGAAACAGAGTGCATGACTGAAATCAGAAAAAAAAAAAAGGGCTTTTTCCAGAACTACTCACCTCCTTTCTTTCCAAGCCTGATGTCCAAGACTTTCTCAATAGTTTCACTGTTGTCCTGTTGTTCATCAGCTCCTTCTCCCGTCATCTCTATCAGGTCATCAGAATCCGTCTCAAAATCATCATCTTCTTTGTAACTGAGCAAGATCAAAACCAAACTGACAAAAAGCTCTTGACTTCTCGCCCACAAATACACAGAGCATCACAGGATGGAACATTTATCCTGGGGTACAGTGCCTGTCCAGCACACGAATTTCTTAAGTTCAGTCTTTGTCCCCAAGACAAACTGATACCTAGATCATAACAAACTAATATCCCAGCTAATCCCCCTGGAAACAGCCAACACCAGATGCTTCACGAAGAAGGGGAGCCATCCCTGCAGTAGAAGCAATATAAGAGAAAGCATTAACAGAGGAAGTCTCTGCTGTCCAGTGAAAGGTATATTTATATTGAACAGTGAAGGTTGCGGAGCACTGCACAGGTGCCTACACTGCCCTAGGAACTGTTTCACCTTTGATGAACATGTAGCCACAAAAAAAACTTCCTTAAATGGCACCGTGCAAGTCTCTTATTAGTTGACTGACAAAAAGATGGGTAGGAATATCAGCAAACGGATGTTTTACTTCTACCATGTCTCGATACCCTGCTCCAAGGCACCATTTATCAGCCACTCTCAGACATTTGGTCCACTCCGGTACAGAAGTTCTTTCTCGCTCATTTCGATTTAAAAGTTTACAACCTTTAACTTCATTTTAGAGTGTTTCAGAAACATTAAGCAAACCTCCTCACACTTCTCTAAGACAGACTGGTAAATATTCCCCGCTTTACAGATGGCAAAACCAGGCATAGAGAAATCAGGTGTTAGCAGCATGAATCTGTGAAAACCACCCCATTTCAGTCTGTGGGTATTTACAGGACAGAGGAGGGCATCTCTTCTGGGTTACATGGGGCATTGAGTGGATTCAGTAATGAATTTAGCTAGTGGCCTCTTCCCCAGCCCACGAGCACTCATCACATGCAACCCCAAGCTTTTGATACCTGACATTTTTGGCTGCTCTTCGTCGAGTTTGTCTCTTGGGAGTCTCATCATCTTCATCATCATCGTCATCTTCAGATGAGTCTTGTTTCTTTCTTTTCTTCCCACGTTGGGGTTTGTGAGGCTTTTTAACACTGGTTTTGGCCACTGTTCTAAAATAAGCATTAATAAAAAGCTCCTATAGCGGGTTTTTTGTTTGTTTGTTTTACACAAAGGTACGTTTTAACAAGTCTTCGAGAAAGCATGAATCTCAAATATTAGGTTTGCAGAGATTTTGTTTCCTCTGCCTACCATGGAAACCACTGCATGACTCACTGGAGCAGGAAATGGATAACTGAGAGAGCAACAAGATCCACCGACTCACCATCAAGAGGAAAATGAAAGAAAAGGCACATCTAGAGCACATCTAGAACACCAGAGATTGCCTTTCCACCCAACATGGTACTAACAACATGCGGAGTCAAAGACAGATTGCACCAACCACTCCTTACCTCCTTTGGGCAGGTCTTCTTGCTTTAACCTTCTTCGGTTCAGGCTCACTCTCCGCACTGGTACCTTGCTCCCCTCCATCTTCATCCTCTTCTTCACCAGAGACCTCTCTTTTCCATTTATTTCTACAATCAGAAACAAGCAATCATACTTCAGCACAAATGCTTGGCTAAATAGATATTCAAGCTAACACTAACAGGCCATAAATATGAGGAAAAGTTCAACACTGCAGTCTACTTTTCCAGGTTTTGTATTTGGGGTTCTTTGCTGTGAGTCTCTGCTTTTACAACACCTCCTTACCTAGGTTTTAGTTAGCAGTGACTGCAGTTCTTACAACAGGATATGTGGCCTAGCTGCACTTCTTATTTTCCATTTCCACTTGCACGTTTCTGAGATAAGCTGGAAATATCTTACAGGTGGTTTCTACAGAAACAGACAGTATTTCTGGAAAGTGCTAAGCTTTTGCTTGCGGCAGGCAAGCTCCAACATGCACATGTTCATGATGGCCTTGTAACACTGAAAACAGAGCAGGAAGCCTCATGCCATCTAATTGTGCAATTAAAGCTTCACTTTATCATCAGTGGGAGAAAGCAGGTCTCTTCAATTTCTGGAAGAAATCCAGAGCAAAGTTTCAGCTCCCAAATGCCCTTTGAAGGAGCCCTTCCTCTCTTGGAGGGAATCCACAGGGAATCACAAAGCGATTATTCCCCTTGCCTTGAAGGGGTATTTCCACAGCCCTCACTGCCCTTAATCTTCCTTGTTTCACACTAGTATACAAAGCTGGATGAAAAATCATATGGCAAGCAACAGGAGAAAGGCAGCAGGACCATGTGGCATGTTGCTGCGTTTTAAGACTTCTCCAGCTGGCAGCTTAAGGTTCTCCTTAGTTCACTTAAGCACTTAGAAGAACTAAAAAGTACTTAGTAGATGGAAAAGGAAGTAAATGTGACTGTAAATGACCAGAGTTATGGCAAAGAAGCACTCAAAATATCCTTTTTTTTTTAAGGATAGGTCTCTTTTTTTTTTAATCAGAGAATTATACATGATAAAAAAAAAGAGTCATTCTTATCTCCATTAATCAAAGTAGTAGGCAGGGAGAAGAACTGGGGATTAAATTATTTTAAGTGTCCATGAAGGTGACTAAATAAACTGATGGGGAAGTGGAAGAATAACAACAACAACAAAAAAGAATCTGACTTGTCTGAATTCTCTGTCACAAGCAACGTGGGAAATAATAAGCAACAGAAAAGTTGGGAAATTATACCTATCTGTAGATGTAAGTTCATACTTTGGGTTTAATCATACCAAATACCAACATTGAAAATATGGAATAATTCATTCCACAAGCTTTCCATGTTGACAAAAGAAACATTCCCTCTAACACCAGGAAACTCATTTTCTGCAAAATAAAATAAGACAAAGGGAGACCACTCAAGCCCCCCTCCCAAGAAACTTACGCTTTTTTCATTTGTTTCTGGCCTCTTCTTTTGGGGCTCTCATTTTCAGATTCGCTACTTGCCTTTAATCGAAAAGACAAAAGAAAGAAAAACCATCAGGCCGCGGTGTCCCTGCGGCCCGTGGCCTCGGGGGAGCAGCCGCGGCGCTCGCGCGCGGGCCGAGCGCGGCAAGGACGGCGGCTCCTTGGAGCTCCGCTGCCACCAAAGGCCGAGCCGGGCGGCAGGGCCGGCGCGACGGCTCCCACAGGGCGACAACAGGGTAGCGCAAGAGAAGGGCTGAAAGCCCCTGTGCAACATGTGTCCTGGGGCCACCGAGCTCGGCGATGACCCTCGTGACTCAGGTCAGGCAGGGTGCCCTCCCTCCGGGCCTTGCAACCCCCCCAGGACGGCAAACGTGCAGGGTGAATTTGACCCACCAGACCTGGCACGCTCAGGCCCTGGGGCTCAGCTGTTCCTGGCTCTTCTTGAGACAGAAAGTGACATAAAACTCGGCATTACCTTGAGAAACAGGCAGCCTGACTTTGCGCTTTTTGGTACTTTCACACTTTCTGGAATTACTGCAACATTAAGGCTCAGCAATGTTATAAGGCTTCTGAATGACAGTGCAGGGCAGAGTGTGTTTCAATGAATACCCACAGTATGCTCAGCATGATTCCTGCACTGCTTTGTTTTGAGGTTTTATTTATTTATTAAGGCCTGCGATTGCAAAAGGCCTAGCTTCTGCAGTCACACAAATGCATTAAAATATACACTTTTATTAGAGAAACTTCTCCTAAGGAAGGAAGCTTTTATTAAAATACACATTATTGTTTTCACAAGAGTGTCCTTTCCTGTTTTCTCCTTCCCTAGAAAAAATAACGGATGAATTCACTTAGAACTGTGTTCTCCTGTTTCTAACCTCCATAAATCAAGTCCCTCTGGCTAAATATATCTAGAGATATTCGAACTACTTGCTGTAGTATTTTAAATCTAGGTGTCATTCACTGTAGAGGCTGAGATAACTCAAAATCTTGGAGAGAACCCATTTTCTTAATAAAAACTAGTCAGTCGTGAAAACAAGTTATCACAGCTATAATACTCCTACATGAACAGATGACTTCTGATATACTTGCTGCAGAAAACACAGGGAAAAGAGCCAAATAAACCAACATGAGATCTCTAAAATAGCATTAGAATGATAGAAGTAGCCTCAAAGACCGTTTCCTCCAGGCATCTTGCTCATTTCAAATCTTCTGATTATTTTATATTGCTTTTATATTTATATTGCTTCTTGCTGCAGAATTCAGAAAGCCACGAAAAGTGACCCTAGGTTTAGCTCTGAGACTCTGTCCATCATTCACCCCCTGGTCCTTCAGTTTGCGGCTCCAGCACTTCCACCCATCTTCCTCGAAACAACTAAGCAAATTGACAACCCAGAGTTGCTAATACAGAAGTACAGGGTCCCGGTGTAAGCTGCAATGCTAACGACAAAAGCCCAAGCACCAAGACAGCCCCTACACTTCTTTTTTTTTTTTTTTTCCTGAATCCTTTATTTCCATTTCCCTACTTTCTTTCACCGTTGCAAATTCCCTTCTTGCTTCCATCACTGTTTCTATCAAAACAAGCTGAAGTACTGGATGCCCTGTTAGACCAAAACCTTTGGTGAATCTTACTGTGTCGGACGTGGCCCAGCAGCCCCTGTGTACTGCTCCGTGTTGTGAGTGCGTGTTCATGTGCCTATTTTTCTGCACTCTCAGACCAAGTGTCCAGGAAGCAAACAACTGGCTAACAATTTTGAAAGACCCGCCTTCACATCATAAGAGAAGCCTCCCACAGAGCCTCAACACTCCTCAATTTTCTTTTTATCTTTTAATCTCTCAACCACTTTCTGCAGCAGGCTGCTTTGCCACTCAAATTTTGGGATATTTTCCAAGAGCTGTTTCTCAATGCACGTTCACTTTGTGCTCTCTTTTGGCAAATCGTGAGTAATGAGAGAAGGATTTTCTTCTGTGTCAGAGAAGCTCAGATTTGGAGAAAACCAAATAAGACCTTTGGTGCTTCCTGAACCTCTGACATCACCTCTTTGCCAAAAATCCCACTTTTCGAGGTCCTAGCGTTCACCTTCCTGACCCGCCTTATCCTCCTTGCTCTGTCACTGTTTCTGCATAGCTGATGCTCATTTTCTAGCGCCTAATCATCTTTCCTCATTCTTTCTGCCTTGCACAGAATTAACTTGCGACTCCAGCTCAGCTGCCTTCAGCTGTGTTTTTCAAAGGCATCGCTGTGTCTTTTGGCCGCGCGTCAAGTCTATCTCCTATGACCCAGCCAGCCCCTGGCCTGAGTCATCTGCCTTCCCTGTGCTCCCGTCCTCCCGTGCGGATGCCGGGAATCGCTGCAGCTGCGGCTCAGGCTCCGCGCGCTCCCGCACGCTTCTCCTCGCCGACCCCTCCTGGCACAGGCTGGCCTCGGGCTGCCAGGCTCCCGCCCGGAGCGGAAAGCTGCTCCCTACCATTTTACACACAAGTAATAATTAGAAAGAAAGCATAAATGCATTATAGCAACTGCTTAATTCCGCTTGGGTCCACGCGTCAGGACTCAGCTGCAGAACCCACTTGCTCAAATCAGCCCCAGGGCGGTATCTGCGCCTCCACCCAGGACTCCACAACACTAACAGAGCTAACAGAGCTTGGGCTTTTAACACTTCTTTATCAGCATAAACCCACAGGCTCTGGCCATGGCAAATTCCTCTGCTAAGGAAATCAAGCTGATATCCAGCAGCTGGGCACACGTCAGCTCCGGAGCGAGTCCCTACGGCACCTCACTGCAGCGATGGGGAAGCGGGGACAGCACATGTGCCTTGCATTTAATAAAGTCACCTCCCTGCATGACACAAGCTGAGCTGCCGAAACCCTCCCTGTCGGGGCTGGCTGACTGTTTTTTGCTCTTGGAGCCTGCACATCAACGCTGGCCAAACCACGGCGCAGAGCGGGGCTGAGCACCCCGTTGGGGGAGCTGCTGTGGCCAGAGCAGCGGAGGGGACGTTGGCTCTGCTTTCCCAGCTCCCAGTTCCCCTGCTGGGCTGAGCCCCTTGCCAGGGGACCATAAAAATGCCACCTTGACCCAGGCCACTCTCCTGTCTGGATTAGGGCTAGCTCTTCATGGTGCATTTCCCACATCTCCAGCCCAGGGAGCTCTTCTCCCCATCTGACTCCCTCTGCCACCTCATTTATCCTTTCTCTCTCCTGGCATTTAAATAGCACACCCTTTTACTAGATTAGTAATGTACTTTGCCACGGAGCAATGCTATGCAATGCTGTATCTGTAGTATGTGGCTGAGAAACACAGAGCAGCAACTTTAAAAACTCTGGTCCTGCAGCTTGCCCAAAGGTGTTTTCTGGGCCCAAAGCAGGACAAATGGAGGCTCGGGCAGCGTGACACAGTGCAGAGGGGCCTCTTGCACCCATGCTGCACCCCAGGACAGAGAAAAACTTGCTAAAACAGAGCCAAGACCTCTTTTCGGATCAAGGTCAAAATAAGGGTTTGTTCAATTCCAGGTTTAAAAGAGACGAAAGCCTAGTGTCAGCACTGAGAAGGAAAGAAGGCCCCTCAGGCGCCTCCTGTTTCTTGAGCTTTGGGAGCCCTGTGGGCCTGGTGAAGGAGCTATTTTGGACTATTTCAGAAATGTCAGAAAATCTTAACTCACCAGGTTAGTTTTATCTTTTCTCCCCTAGTAATACTGCAAGTATGTGAATTTTCGGCAAAGATGTGACAGAGCATTAATAAAAATGCAAATGTGCAGAACTTTTTCTTTTTTTTTTTTCTTGCCAGTAACAAACCCAAATGTGTTCTGTGGGCACCTCTGGCTCTTGACACATGACCTTTCTTTCACAGAACTTTGCAATTTCTTACTTATTCCAACCACAAACCATGCTTTTTATGCTCTGTGCACATTTATTTCTTGACCACCTCAGAATATTCTGACAGGCTGCTCTGAATATCTCACTTCCCCTTACTAAATCCTGAAGCTGATTAATTGATGGCAAAAAGAGAAGGCAAGGGCAAGTACTGTTTTTACTCAAAACTCACACATGCTCCAGTTCCTGGAGACCGCTCTAGTCTTCTGAAAAAAGACAAAAAAAGCGCCTCAACCACATGCAACGCTACGCTTTCGCTTCCCATTTCCGAGCCCACACCTCGGCATTGATTAGAAATGTTCACCCTCTGTGAGTGCTGCTCAGACTTGTGCAACACATCAGATGGCCTCGGGGAAGGTCCCAGGAAGCCATTTCAAACACAAACATGACCCTGTCTAAATTCAGCAGAGGCTCCCCTAAACAAGCTGCCACCACCTACGCACGTGCAGGCAACACGGGCTGAGCACAGCAAGTCAGTGAGAGGTCTGAAACGTGCAGCCTGGGGAGCTGCTATGCCCCGGGACTGCCGGGAAGGGAATTGTGAGGGAAGGTGGCAGGTAAAAGCTCCTAGACACTGTGCTGGAAGTCCCAAACAGCAAGCACCGAGGACCTGCTTAACCCTGGAAGGCAGGAGGTGCTCTGAGGAGCCACCTGCAGCATCAGCAGCTCGGGGCGCTCGGCCCCGGCCCTGCGCTCCCGACTCGTCGCACCCTCCACCGGGCTCTGCTGCAGAGGGGAGTTGCCCTATGGGGATTGCTCAGCGCTGCGCTGGGCACAGAGATGGAAAGGGGACCAATTTGGTCAGAGATGGTGTGGGTTTTTTTTTTTTTTCTTTGCTTCACTTGATGGTGGTAATTGGTTTTGTTGAAAGGATTTTTTTTGTTTTTTACAATATTTTGTGGTATAGCAAAGTTTTTACATCTCAGATTTTTTTTTTTTTACTTTTATCGTACCTTAAATAGTAAGAAATAAAGATATTGAAAAAGAAAACAACATTTGCAAAACCACGTAATATTGTAAAACAAAAAAAGGCGGGACTTACCTGAGCCCCTACAGGGCACTCGGGTCTGCAGCGGAGGTCTGGGGTGGGTTTGACATCGCCAGCACAGTGCATGCTGCGGCATCGCACACAGAGGCGGCCAGCGAGTCTGGGCTTTGCCGAACTTGAAAAGGAAAACAAAAGCTACGTCAATGAGGTGCTACAAGCCCCTTCCTAACCTGCTGCTATGCGGGACGTCCAGCACAGGAGTCTGGGGCAGGGGATCTGGGCGGTGGCACCGCGGGTGACGCGTGTCTATAAAGGATAAAGCGCCGGAGCAAGGAGCTGGAAACAGGGATTCTGCTCCTGGATTTGCCGTGTGGCTCTGGCCAGGTCAGGCCCAGATTTACAAACCTGTGCGTGCAACTGAGACACACCCGAATGTGTTTCAGCACCGAAGAACAAATAGCCGGATCTTCAGGGAGCACCGCGGTGCTCCAGCTCCTCTGAAAACCTGGCTACTTATTTTCAGATTCCCAGCTGCACATTTTTATGCCTACCTTTAAATCCTAAGCTGAAAAAACTAAATCCCTCTCTGGTTTATTTTCCCTCCTCTATAACTACTCAACCTTCCTGAAGGTCTGCACATGAAGAGTTCCACGCACAAAGTCTGCAAAACAAAGGTAGCTAACCAGAAAAGGGTTCTGATAAATGGAACTACTTATAGATGTATCTGCCAGGTCCTCACAACTCTCTCATTCAGCTGAAGCATAAAATACTCCCAATATTCAACCAAACAAAACTGACAGTTCATAAAGCTGAGCACACACACAAATGCATTTATCACTGTGATCCACTCTGGGATGGGCAGCAATGACTGTTTTATTGTTGTGAGCTGTTTCTGGGAAGTTTCCTTGATTCCTGGTTGGATTCATTTTGTTTTCTTTTACACAGACCCGTTCTCTCCAGCAGGTGTTTCTACAGCAGAGCATGGCTTGCACTGAGCCCCACTCCAGCAACCAGATCAGTGCATGCAGATCTCACAGCCCACGCAGGGTCCCACTGACTCCAGAGGTCTCAGGCCAAGTGGATCCAACTGTGGGACTGGGACCTTAGCTGGGAGCTCCAACATCCGTGAACCAGGCTAGAACTCCGTGTTTACAAGGTGATGCAGATGAAAACTGCCTTTGTTTTTTGGGTGCTTTTGTTTGCTTTTATATGTTCAATAATCCCTCATCCTTTTTTTTTTTTTTCTTACCTCATCTTTTATATTAAATCGCGACGGTTCTTGTCTGCTTCGGTTTGACCTCCTAACCCCATAAACATCAGGATATTCTTCCCACATCTGCAAAATAAACAGACCATCAGAAGGCCTGCTTCACCCCAATTACTTCTGTCATTTTAGAGAGGTTTGATGGCGAGTTTCTGAAAAATCAATGTAGAACCATTACAGACTTCTAGTAGCAGGGACCAGCAGGTGGGCACTTAGAAACCTGACTGAAAGCAATTAGGATTATTTTGGAGTATTTGGTAATGCTTTAAAGCAGCATATTTCATCTCAGCATTATTTTTATGCTAGTTCATCTTTCTCCCAAGTTACAAAACACTTCACAGCTCCTTTAGGCTTAGGAGAGTGTATTGAAACACCCACCCAGTCTCTGCAAGTAACAGTTAAATGCAGAAGTTAAGCAGCTGACACCCCCGCACAGGGAAAGATGACCCACCAACATGGAAGAATGATCCACTGTCATCAACTGCTTTCACTCTGATCTCTTTTCCTTACGGAAAACCCCACCAGCTCCCCAAGGAGCACAGCGACATATAGTCACTAGCAGCAACTTGGCGAGTAACAGAGCTCAGGGAAGTCTGCAGCCCAGCCCGGATGCTGGATGGAGCCTGGAATCCCCTCCAGCCTGCGGTGACAAGGGCAGGTGGATTTCTGATTGCCGGGGGGAAGGCAATGGCCTCTGCTGCAGCACTTGTGGTACAGCCTCTCCTGCCACAGCTCTGGCTTGGGAAGGAGTCACTCTCCGGGTGCTACACTGTGGCACGCAGCAGCGCTTTTTCCTGCTTACAGGCAGAGGCTGCTACGCCGCTTCCCGGAACACGCTCCTCCAAGAGCCCTCGGCTGCACAGCCCGAGCACCAACCCCGCGCAGGTTGCAGCTCCCGCAGCGCCCTGGGGACACCCGGGCACCCTGCGCCGCGGCAGGGCCACGCGGCCCCGGGCCTCTCCTCAATGCACTGATGCGAGTGCGCACGCACACGAGGACGTGCAGAGGGATGGTTGGGCTCTGAAAACCACGATTGCTGTAACCAGACCAATAATGGCTTAACACAGCGGGTACAAAAACATGCATCTGCTCTCTCTGGATGGACAGGAGAAGGAGGAGACAAGAACTGATGACCTGAGGGACATGAATGCAGAGCTGTGTTGGTGGCACACGACATCAGCAGCTCTACAAGGAAATATGAACCACTGACATGCCCCTTGGACAACCACCTGTCCCTCAGGAGAGTTTATTCTCTACAGATTTCTGAATCTATCCATTCCCCTTCTGCTTCTCCCTCTCTCTAGTCCCCGTGCCTCTGCAAATCACTTTCAGGAAAAATAAATCAAAAGGAATTACTAGATAGAGCAGCAACTTGAGGTTGAAAGCATGATGAATGCTAGGCTGCAGTCTGTATCTTTTCTGCTACCTTTCTGTTGGGCACACAAGCACAGAAAAAAAAAAAAGAATTCAGAGCTTGTTTATTTCCCACCTCACAAACTCAAATGTTCTTCGAACCATTTGAAGGGCTGGCTGCTCATTTTTAAATGGCATGGGCTTTGGATAAGGGACTGACTCCTCTGATAAATCTGATATACCCATAAAGGTCAGGTTAATTTGTGAGGTGCTATCTGGACAAAAATAAAATATAAACAACAATAATTAATTGCATTGGTTATTCAAGGGGAACAGGTATCAACATACCTAGATGATTAGACCCCATTTAGGGAAACACCCAGTAACAAGGAAGTTAAAGAAGGGAGAAGCTTTTTTATTAGAGGCTGTGCTGACCTTTCCATGTTTCATTCACTCTAATTATCACCCTCTGTATGGATGCACTCCGTCATGGCATAAATTTAATCTTTGTTGGACATGCTCTTGGAAGCCCACAGAGGAAAGGACAACTTCCTTCAGTCCCCACTTACTAACAATAAAACAGAAATCTGAATGATGCATAACCACAACTCCCTGACAAATGCATCCTTCCTTGCTGGCCTGAACATGAGAGATGTAGCATGACCTGAAGAGGCACCCTATGGATTTCTATAGGGGGGAACTATAGTTGCTAGTAACAAAAATCCTTCACTTTCACCTTGCAGATATCCAGAGAAGCTAGGCTTAAATCACTGCTCTTCTCAGTCTCAACATATATAGCAACTTTCTCAAAAATCTCACCCACGAACAAGCTGCAAACCTCAGCTCAGAGGACCAGGATTGTCACACACCACAAACAAAACAAACAGAACTGACCTAACCTGATTTCCCTCTGCTCCACCTAAATTCAACTCATCGAGTTCCTATTTCCCAATGGGCATTTGGGCTCCTCTTTCTCACTCTGTGCTGCCCCGTGCTACTCAGGTGCCTCCATCCCTCAAGCAAAGGAGGTGACCAAGGCCCAGCTTCTGCTCTGGGAGCTGCAACACCAGACAAGAGGACACCGTGCACATCAGATGCAACAACCCTTTTTTCCCCCCATAACAGTGCGTGCAGGGTGAACCTAAAGGATGACTGGGGGAGGAAAACAAACAAACAAACAACAAACTAAGAATGACTATTCTAGAAATCATTAAAGTTAAATCACTTTTGTGGTTTTTTTTTTTTTTTTTTTGGATGCGACAGACAGTGATGGAAACATACCCAACTGATTCCCAAACATGCATTTTCGGGTTATGTTCCATAAGGAAGCTTGACTATTCATAAGGGAAAGGACAGACAGGAGAGATAAGTGGAAGGATGGAGGGAAAGGGTGAAATGACAAGGCCACTGACCAGCGGCAGGGGGGCCCCTGCCTCTCATCACCCCAGTCAGCCCCACCTCTACCTAAAGGGCTGTCAGGTCAGCAAACGCACACGAGCTCCTTCCTGCTCACAACCACCGATGGACCAAGGAGCGACTTGGGGAAGCGAGAGCAGGAGGCTCATGGTCCGTGTGCATTCACAAGGCAGCACAATGGTCACCAAGTTAAAATGTTTTTGTTAAAATGTGGTTTTTTTTCCATTTCTTTTTTTTTTTTCTCCTTTTTCCTCTGTTAATCTGCCTTTCCTTGTGGGCAGAGGGGTATGTAGTGCATGGCTATGCAGAGCAGCAGGGGCAATACCTTTTTAACATCTGCTATCCTTTCCTTCTTAGAGGCCGGTTTTTCTTTGGTTTCAGGAGGGGTCTGCTGGGATTTGGAACCCGTTGATTCGCTTTCGGATTCAGACTGACTTTCGGAGGACTCGGAGCTGCTGTTTGACTCGCTGCCCTGCTCGCTGCCCTGCTCACTTTCAGACTGGCTCGCAGAGTCAGAGCCAGAGGCTTCTTCGGATGCCGAATGACTGATGGTAGAGAGAGAAGAGATTACATTTTAACTGCACTGCCCCAGCTTTGACACACGCAGCGAGCAAACCTGCGCCGCACCCAGGTACAACGAGAGGCTTGAGTAATCTACGTGGACGCGTGACCCGCACGGCCCAGTGCAGACCCCTGCAGTGTCATTATCAAAGCAGATGCGATTCCTTCCCAGGACAGGACAAGGTTTAAGGTGTAGGAGAGAGCATGGGCTCCGCTCCTACATCTCCTGCTCTTCAGCCAGTGCAGCAGCGGAGCTGGTACCATGAGGAACAGCATTAACAGCACGGCCAGCACGGCTCCTCCCAGGAGGAACGGTCCTGCTCTGCGCAAGAAAAGCAATGTTTGCTGGAGCTGGAGAGCCTAGACTCTCCCCTTCCCAGTAGGGGTGAGCAGAACTCTAGCTCCACCACCTAGAGAGCTACAGCTAGGGCTCCAAAAAATCCAACGTCCCATTTTGGCCACCAAATACTGTATGTATAACGGTACACATGGGTAAATACCACATTTCTTGCAGAAAAGGACAAATTCAGCAACAGAACAGCAGAAAGGAGCTTATACAACCACAAGGCTGAGCTTCTGTTTAGAGGATTGCACCAGTGCTGTGAAGACTGCGTTCTTACAGTGAGCAAAAACAGGAGAGTTGAACATCCTCTAGGAATATTTTTCTTATATTTGATGTTAAAATAGGTTAATATACAAAATATTCATACACTCAAAATTCAAGCTTCTCGGCAAAACAAAACAAAGGGAGGCCAAGCTCTTTTAGAAGTGAACTATTCTCTCAGGTGGCCAGAATACTCCAGTTACCTTTGACCAGTTTCTCCAACAGCATACATCCTTATTCCATTTAAAAATCCATTAAAATGGAAAACTCATTACCACACACAGCCTACGAGCTTGTGAAGAAAATGGAAAGTAGCAATGCAAACCCAATAGTGACACAAGAACTAGAAAGGAATGCAGCAATAATGAGACTGTAAACATCTTGAACAAGGAGCATTTCTTTTCAAGGTATCTTCATCTGCAGCTAGGTACTTTCATATTAAGAACATGTTCTGAATGTAACATCATGAAAAGAAGAGACAGAAAAATTTCATCAGGAAAGCATATTTTAATATTTTGCCTTTTATACAAAAGTAACAAAAAGGCAGAGGCTCTACTCGGTTTTTACACTTCAAGAAAAAATAAAAAAAACATTAATATAATTACATTAAAAATACAGAAATCAGTGTATGCAGTGTAAGCATCTCTGATACAGTCGAGTAGTATTTTAAATATACGCACGTGCAAATAGGACTAATGTATCTGGGAGGAGAATATTTCTTCCCATGGGGTACAAATTCTCGAATTCCTTCACGATCTCCAAGGGTTTTCCTGCAGAAGGCAGGCCCGGAGGGCCCCGGGCAGCCGGAGCGGCGGCTGCGCTTTCCCCCGGAGCGGGCAGGGGGCAGCAGCCGCGCGAGCGCCAGAGCGGGATCCCGGAATCCCTGGGCGGCAGCCAGGCTCCCGGCCGCCATTTCACAGCGCCCGCCCTTCCACCATCTTGCGGCTTCGTCGCCGCGCGGGCTGCGTTTGCTCACGGCTCCCAAAATGGAAGGACTTTGCAAGGAGGGAGGGGGGAGACGGGCTGCGAGCTAAAATCTCGCAACCTGAAGCCGCAGAGGCGATGTTTTTGCAGTAGAGTTGAGAGGGGTTGTCGCTGCCGCCTGCTGCATTTCCTTGCCCTCGTTTCTCGCAAAAGGCACGGAGCTCTCACACCGCTCTCTCCAAGGAGAGCTGGAAAATCGAGTTAAACGACTGCTGGCCCAGGCCTTGTGGTATCCGATGTTTGTCCCATGTTCGCCACACAACCCAAGGGCACAGTCCAGTGCTCAGTGACGTGTCCCATCGCTCCAACCCTCTTGCTGGCTTTCGCTTCCTCTCCATCTTCCATCTCTGGAGCTCTTGCTCCTGCGCTTGTCCACCACAGCCCTTTGCAGCCCAGCTCCCTCCTCGCTATCAGCCCAGCTGTCTCCTTCCAGCACCAGCACCAATTCCCCCTGCTCACCCACCTCTCCCAGAGGTGCATGTTTCCACAGAATGCACCCACGAATCTGCTGAAGTTTCCCCTCAAAGTACCACCCAACCACATCATTTTGCAACTCAGGCTACTTTATCTCTACTTAAGCATTAAAGCTTTTTTTGCTGATGAATTTTCAAGCTTTTATAGCTCCAAGAAAATGGAAGGGTTTTTGTTAGGAGACGTTGCCACAACATTCGCGGAAATGATACCTGCCTAAGTGGGGGTGTCTGGAACCCCCAACTTCCATGGGAAGCAGGACATATTCCACATTGTCCCATGGAGGCTCCCGCAAGCCACCTGCCATCCCACTGTGTATCAGGATGAGGACCTGACCTTCACAAAATATGGGAACTGGAGACATCCAACCTTCTACTGTCAGGATGCAAAGTGGCAGCACCAGGCTTTGGTTGAATCACACTGGCGTCTCATGTTCCAGAAGCTGAGGTTCTCCACCAGACACATGAAAGAAGAAAATATTTTTTCTTCAAGTGGATTTATTGGCAATAGCTGGAAGAAATTAGAACATAGCCTAGACTGAGGCCAGACGGTATTGGCAGTATTTGCTTAAAGGCTGAACAGCAATTATCGGTCTCCTCCCACTCTGGAGCTCTTTGTTTCTCACAGTCCTAAGCTTTATTACCGTCTTTATGCACATGAATATCCATTATTCATAGGTATTATTCACAGCGTAGCTGGCTCCTGCCATTATTCCTTTTCCTAGATGTGAATTATGTCATCTGAAAATAAGATGATTTCTCTATGACAGATCACACACATATCTGCATGTGCAGGTGTACATGAACCTATAGGGAAGAAAATGTAGCTGGGAAATGGTATGTCCTTTTGAAGGCTGTTACAAATAATTCCTTCTGTTAAAACCTTAGAAATCCTGTTATGGAGACAAAAGCAGATGTGTTTGCCTCTTGAAACCCTGAAGGGAAAAAAAAAAAGGCACAATTTCCTAAAAGGTCCTTTCTAAGTATCACTGAGACTATCAGAAAGTCTTTCTACCTGCCAGTAAGGCAGTAAGGATTAGCAACATTACACACCGAATCAATTCTTACCGTTGTAGGTAACCAGACATTTAATCCTTTTCTAGGCCTATTTTTGGAATATGCTCTGTTTTAATGACCTTAAGTTAACTTCTAAAAAAGACTGACTTTCAACTAAGCTTTAAGCTTGCATGTCTCCAAAAAAAAAAAAAAAAAAAAAAAAAAAAAAAAAAGGCAGCACCCTGCTTAACCAACCCAACACTCTCCAGATTCAATAGGGGAGAAACACCCACAAACACATTGTTGTTGGTGCATCAGTAACTCCCTTATGAAAGGGAGAAACTCCCATAAAAATTCAGATCCACTAAGACTCAGCAAAACATGTTCCCACTGTTTTACAGAAGTACTTCAGGCTATAATTCTGTTTTAATTAAGCAGCAGGTCCTGACTTCAGTAAAGGAAAGAAATTACTAAGAAGGAAACACTCCTTCCAAGAAATAACTAGCTGAATGGCAGTGATAAGAGCGTTTGCAATCAGGCATCTAAGTTGCCAAAGCAATTACCACATGCCTGAAGCCTCCTGCATTAGCATTTAATATTCCACATGTGAGTATATGATTTCATTTTGAGAGAGATCTTCCCTCCTAACAGTAACAAAATGTTTTACAAGCTCTTAAGAAGCAAGCAGGAACAGCAGTTCTGCTTTCGGGAGATGACAGAGAAGCTGGAGCCCCTCAGAAAATGACCAGAGATGGGTTTCTGGAACTAAGAGCTGACAAATGGAAGCCTCTTATAAGAGCATTCAGCTTGAAACTTTACAAGTTTGGCTTTTTATAGGCAGATCCTGATTTCAGCCAGTAGAATAAGGGAATATTAATGGCCCAAGATCTTCCTACAAACCAAGTGCAATCCAGCTTTAGAAACTGTTTCTGATGTCCCACATCACTATTTTGAATCCCAGCAGCAATGCTGTGCTGGGCTCTGCAACCTTAGTTGGAAATCCCCGTCGATGGAATAACCTCCAGGGCAGACTCCAAATGGTCTTTGGCGCAGACTCCCAGAGCCAGGCAGTATCTGAATCCAAGGTTACTCTTCCCCTCAGGCAAATATACACTTAACTTTTATGCATGGCAGACAAAGCTTCACATACCTGGTGGAAAACTGATGCCCAGCTGTCCGTGCGCATCTCAGCTTGCTGCCACCCAGGGCAGAAAGCCGGTACCTGGGACTGCTCCCACCCGTCAGCCTCCATGACCCATCCTAGCGGTTCATACCTGCTGCCGGCTCCACTGCTCACTGGACTCCACAGACCACTCTAACTTACTAACACATCAGCAGAAGAGCCCCGAAAAACTGAAGAGGAGCTTCCTGCTGGCTTAGCAAGTAACAGTAGAGCTGGGTGCAGACCACAGCCAAGAGGAGCTGCAGAGGAGATGGGGAGGGAGGCAAGACCTCCCTTTCTGGCCAGCTCAGCTGGTCACCTCAGGTCCACAGCACCAGGGAAATCTGCTGTCAGTGACAGGGTTAAGAAACCTGCTGCAGACTGAGGAGTCTTGCCTGATGTCCAGCAACCTTTGACAGAAGCGCAGGGCCACCTGCTAGCTGAAATATTTAGAATATTTAAAAATATTTTTAAATTGTAGGTAAATCATCAGATTTGATACTTGTTCATAATTACTATGTAATTACTGAGCAGAAACACAGCAGTGCCCAGCTGACCCTGCCTGAAGGGAACAGAATGGTTCACTTTGCCCAGACATGAAGATTTCAGATCAGATATAGCTGCCAGATCCAGCTCTACCAGTAAAAGAGCCTTCCTGTTCCCCCACAGCTCTTCAGCAAGAGCTACCAGCCTCACCCATCCACCAATGGCACCATCCTTGGAAATGATCCTGGATTTGTTTTAAAGCAAGAATCACCTAAGTCAGTG